AGGACATGGGGTGGGGGGTAATAGGAGCCTATATAAGAAAAAGACCCAAAAATCGGGACTTTCCCTATAAAATCGGGACATCTGGTCACCCTACCAGCACTACACATAAGTCTGTGCAGGTGTCTTGAGAGATCTGCAACCTTCACACCTGGCAGGAAATTCACCATGTGGGTCTCCTGGTCATCACAAACCCAACTATCTATATTTCTAATAATCGAATTCCCCGTTACTACTACCTGTCTCTTCCTAATAACTGGGGTTCCCTCCCCAGGAGGAGAATCCTCAGTGCGAGAGGATACAACGACATCATCTGGGATCATTTCCCTCCGCGCCAGCTTGATGTTCTCCTTCCCTGAGACTTTCATCGTCCTCAACAGCAGAGAGGCTGTCAGACTGGGAGTCGGACCACTCTACTGTGTCCCTGAAAGTCTCATCTATGTGCATCTCTGTCTCCCTTAGCTCCTCCAGTTCAGCCACTCTGTCTCAAGAGCCAGTACTCAGTCTCTGAGGGCCATGAGTTGATCGCATCAAATGTTCACATATGCCACCTGCTCACAAGGCAGGAAATTGTACATGCTGCATTCGGTGCAGTGAACTGGATAGCCCCCATCTGCTGTTGGATTTCTGCCTGCATTATTTTTACTATTGTGGGTTTATTTTGTTTGTTCTTTGTTTTGGGGGGGATTATTGGCCTAAATTTAGAGTGTGTTTGTTGGATGTGTCTGGCTCTCACGCTCCCTCGCAAAACTCTGCTCTTTCCTGCTCCTGTTCGCTAGCTCCTCTGGTGGCTTAGGAGGTGGCTTGTTAAACTTGAGTTCTCCCTCAGTTAGCTCTGCCCCCTTGTCGAGGGATCCTATAGGGATTAGGGATCAAATGATAGCACACTTGAGCAGTTGGGTTAGACTTCAGGCTGTTGTGAAAACCTGACCTATGAATTTCCTGTCCTTTGTGGGTATAACATTTTACATTTAGGGGTAAATTTAGCACATGAAACATTTCTGGGCCTGATTCTCATTTACAATAAGGCCAATTTACACCCCTTTGGTAGTGTGAAGGGACTTTAAAGTGGGCAACAATTATATTTAAACCCACTTTAAGGGCCATTTGCACGACTAGTGAAAGTGTCAGTGAAAAGGAGAGTCAGGCCCATTTATCTTTTCGTATATACAGGCATTTACCAGTAGATGGTGATAGTGCATTGGTGGAATTTTGTAAGGGACGCCGTCATCTTATTCACTTTTATATTTTTTACTTCCCATTATCATTATTGTAAATCCTCCCAGAGCTTTGAAATCCTTTGAAATTCTCTCTTAAACAAATTCTCTTCCATTTGGTCAGCAGTAAGTAATGCTGTGTCTTTTAAGTCTCAATTCAAAGTCCTTCTTCTCCATTGACTTGTACCTTCTGCAGACATTTACACAGGGAGCGCAAAGAGGGTATAGAATGCTACCTAGTCGGAATGGCAGTGGGTTACACTGGCTTTGCACAGGGTAGATGACTACACAAGGTGAAGGACAATGGTGAATCAGGCGCTCTGTTTTGTTTATTATCTTTTTTGTGCATTGGTGCAAGCATCAGGGATGTCAGGAGTGGGAATGATAGGCAAGATTCTCAGCTGATATACCGTGATGTAGAGCTATTGAAGTCAATGGAACTTTGAGGCTCTGCCCCACCATCTGTAAATTAAACACAGACAGAAGAGGGAGTGTGTGTAGATCTGACTAAAATGTAGCTGTTCTCTTTCCATATTTCGGTGACAGGTTTTAGTAATAGATCCAGTACTTAGAAACAGGACATTCACTGGAACACATTTACCCACCACCTCTCAGGGGATTACCAAGCTGAGTTATATATACACACCAGTACACTTCTTTACTGATGTGCACACCCACATACCTAGGGTGACCAGATGTCCCGATTTTATAGGGACAGTCCCGATTTTTGGGTCTTTTTCTTATATAGGCTCCTATTACCCCCCACCCCCATCCCGATTTTTCACACTTGCTGTCTGGTCACCCTACACATACCACCACTCCCATAGCACCAAAGAACTGAGTTATCGAATTGAGTGCATTTGTTGATTTTTGGCTTTTGCCACTCAGTACTTAGTTATGTACTCCTGCTCCTCGAAGAGAGAAGTGTTTTTCAGAAAATGGCCACTAGATAGAGCCTGATTACAAATCTAAGAAATCTGTGAAGATGCCTTTTCCATGTCCCTACTGAGCTGCCGTGCTCCTGCCTAAGATATAATAACTCTATTACCTCAATGAACTCCCCTTCATAACTGAAGAGGAAGATGCACTGTGAATGTAAAGGTTAATTAGCCATTGCCAAAGACTACTACCTGGAAAGTCAGGAAGATACACATGGAATTTTTTGGCAGCTTGTAGGGGACCTGCTCTGTTCTCTCCTCCACACACCCCCCCACCCCACCCCCCGAGGCCACATGGCTATGTAAAAGTGACTCTGAAGGTAGGGGGAATCACTGGTTTTATAAACCTTATCCAGAGGCTAGGATGGCCTTCAAAGACTAGGAGATTCCCAGGTTACGAGGGCACTTGGCCACCCTACATAGCCCAGTGTCTAGTGTTCAGCTGTCTTTCTGAGTATGAGATTCCTCACTGGCACTCTTGTAGACAGTCCCAGTGGAGGTTCCAAGGATTCCATTTCTCTAGAGCAGAGGTCCTCTAGGGGGGCACGGAGGAACATTTGGGGGGGGTTGGTGTGGCTGGGGCCAAGCCAGCCCTCACCGGGGGGGGGAGGGGAGCACCACCCAGCTCCACTTCTAGCCCTGGCCCTGGTCCATGCCTGAGGCTACTCCCCCTCCTTCACCCTCAGCTGTGGCCCCAGCCGTGGCCCTCTTACTCCTGTCTGCATCCTCCCCCCCCAAGAGCTGTGGCCCCGCTCCCGGCCCTGGCCAGGCCCGGCTCTAGCATTTTTGCCACCCCACGCACACACGCACACACACACACACACACACACAAAAGCCGCGATCAGCTACAATTCGGTAGCAGGTCCTTCGCTCCGAGAGGGAGCGACGGCCCCGCCGCCGAATCGCTGCCGGACGTGCCGCCCCCTTCTTCATTGGCCGCCCCAGGCACCTGCTTGCTACGCTGGTGCCTGGAGCCAGCCCTGGCCCTGGCTCTGAGGGCGAGGCGCAGACAGGAGTAAAGGGGAGCGTGCGGTAAAAAGTTTGGGGACCACTGCTCTAGAGCTCAACCTGCTCACTGTCTTATCACTTAAGGTGGTCACTACAGGTCATTGACTGAGATGCATTGGCCTGGGTGGTATGGAATTTATTCATTTACCCATTAATAAATCTAAGTGGGAAAATAGAAAAAGGTTTCTAACCATCAGAGGAGTGAGGCTCTAGAACAGCATCCCAGTAGTAGGAATGGGGGCAAACAACCTAACTAGTTTGAAGAGGGAACTTGATAAATTTATGAATGGGATTATAGGATGGGCTCGCCTGCAATAACAGGAACTGGACTCAATGACTCAGGAAGTTCCTTCCAGTCCTACCTTCCATGTTCCTTGGAAGGCGTTTGCTCAGCTGTTGCCCCTGCAGTCCTTGTTCTGTGAATTAAAGAGGAATTATCTCTGGGGCTCTCAACTCAGCACCTTTCACATTCACCAAATCCACTTGGAAAACATGATTCTCAGTGTTGAAATCTCAGCCTGTCTGGCCAGACACTGCCAGGTTGGCCAGGAAAGGGAAAGATTGTTTATTTTTATGAGAAAGCAGGGGGAATTGGCAAATTTGATGCTGCAAGTTAAAGCTAGAGGAGGGGAATTTCCTTTATCCCAGCCTTGTGGTACAAAGCCTAACAAGGAGGCCACTTGCTGATATTTGGAGTAGGGGGTGCATTACAGCTGCTCTCTGGTTTCACATAGCCATCTGGGAATGGTCAGCGAGTTTCTAATCTCGCTTTTTCCTAGTCACATGGTTAAAGGGCCCCTGGTGATTACAACTGCTGCCTGCATTTCCCTCCCTCTTTTCTGCGTGTGTTTCTCTGTGACTGTGGGGGCTGGGCTCATTGCAGCTTGCGGCGTCAGCCCAGCCTCATTCGCCTCTGATTGGCAGAGCTCTGAGGTCCAGCCCAGCCTCGGTTTGCTCTGATTGGCAGAGCTCTGTGGTTCAGCCCAGCTTTCCTGGAAAGTTCTTGGAAATCTATCAAAGGTATTTCTTTGAACACATAGAGAGACAGCAGCCAAATGCTTTATAAAACAGAAAACAATTTACAACTTTTCAGCTGGGTCCCTGGAAGGAGATGACCAATCTGACCTGACCCTGCCTTTTTCCTTGGGGATTTTGGTATATTTTGAAGGGTCTTCCCCCCCCCCCGCCCCCAAATTCTCTGGAGTGCAATGCTGACATCAAGATGTCCATTATGGACACATCTATTTATACTTTTTGTTTTTTAATGTCAGAACAGTGATGTGAATACAATACAATTCCAGGAATCCGTCACTTCCTGGAACAGATTAAAAGGGGCAAACAAAAGATTACTTAGTTGTGTTTTTTTCCAGAGCTTCATTACTCCTGGAGCCAGCGTCCAAGTAGGTTGCCGTTCTCCCAGCTCTACATTCAGGGAGAGATTATTTATTGATACCTATTTATTGTTATTTCGGAGGTGCTTTAAATCCTGACTTGAAAGGTCGTTCTGAAGGAGATTTCATTCCTTCTTTTAACATCCTTTTTCCTTTTCTCTGGTCATTTTTATTTTATTTTATTTTTTTAATCAGAGCAAGAATATATTTTCTTATCTTCAAAAGCACCAAGACTGCGCACATTTTCCTAGCTAAAGTTGCTGAAAAATCCGTAAAGTCTTTCTCTGGGCAGCCTGATTTGCTTTCTGCTTGGCTTCTCCCGGTGTGTGAACTCCAGTGTGCCGTGGAAGAGGTTTGCTGGGAGCAGTCCAGTCTTTTTCTTCCTGTGAATTCCTAACTAAAGATTTGTCCTAACTCCTCTGGGGAACAAAGAAGGCGGCAAGAAAAAGGGGAAGACCATTTTCCCATCCTATTGAAGACTTAATGCGTTTTTCTTGGTCCTGGAGTGACATGATCATCTGTGTTCAGGGGTAAGATTCCTTGCAGCCTTCATTTTAAACGCTTGATTTGAGAATTGTCAATCACAGACTCTGGGGCAGATCCTCAGCTGGTATAAACTGGTGTCGGTCTATTCAGGTTAATGGGGCTATGCTGATTTACACCAGCTGAGTATTTGGCCCTCAGTACATGTGAGTGTCTTGTGTTTCTGGGTATTTTATATGTTTTGCCCAAGAAGGGCATGAACAGACACCCTGATATCCATGCTCTCTCTATAGCTGAGAAATCACATGGCACTCAAGGTTCTTACAGGTAAAAATTAGTTAGAGGAAAATTCTGACTATGCTATACAATATATCATATGTAAAACTACAGAGGACAGAAGCACAGAATAATAGGAGCTATCCGATTTCTCCATAGAAACAAACTACTTACAGGGAAAAGCTTTTCAGGAATTTTTTTTAAAACTGTCTATGTCTAATTCCAAATGAATATATAGAATTAATGTATATTTCTTCTTGCATAGTTTTTCTATACAAGATTATGTGTGTACACATGCATGTGTATACACACAGTGCATTATAAAAATTAAAGATGGGGAAAAGCCCTACTGCCCCAGATATCCAATAAGGTGCAAATAAATTCTTCTGCATGCCTAATTTTATCATATAAGTACCCCTGGCTAGTGCGTGTATATTGGCATTTGCATGCTCACATGGTCAGTTAGGCACTACATGGGTCATCTACATATGTACGGTACCTTATCTGCATGAATATATCAGGCATTTGTGCTCTTGGAAATATTTGCAAGCTCGCACCTTCATTAATGTCTGGCCATGATGTCATTTTAACCATCCTGTCTGCCACTAGAAGATTTTCCTCACAGTGTTATACTTCTGCTCTGTCTACTTTTAAGTGACTCAAGTGTGGGGATTTCCACCAGTTCCCCTGAGAGTCCCCAACGTCTCATAGAGCTCACTATTACAAATATTTTCCTGCTGCTCAACCTATGTCTTCCTTTGCTTGGTTTCACCCATGTTTTCAGCCCACATGATAGTGCTCATAGCCAAGCTGCTTGAAATTAATTTTTCAGTTTAGGCTTTGCAGGACACTATCATATGCTTTACTGAAGTGCAAATATATCATATCTACAGCCTACCTATCATCCATTAATAACCTGTTCTTCATTCGAACGGGGGAAGTTTGTCCACTGTTTGTCTTTATAAAGCTGCTTGTTCCATTGTCCTCTAAGATTGTATGCATTTTGGACCCAATCCTGCCCTTCTTACTCAGGCAAAAGTCCTGTGGGAGCTGATGGGAATTTGCCAATATAAGGAGTGTAGGACTGGACCCTTCTTCCTGTACTATTTCACTATGTGTGTCATTATGAAGTTTGACTTATCACAGAGGAAATGGCAAAGATCACTCTACTTGGTACTGCCTGCGTCTGCGCTCTTGTATCTTCTCAGTTTTCCAGGGCTTTTCTCGAGGGGTCAGAAAAAGTTTGCTTGCTGCTTCTTTTATGACAAAAAGATGCATATCAACTGGACCTGCTGATTTTTATAAATACAGTTTCTTCCACATAGTTCTTTATCTGGTTCATAATAGCAGCTATAGTCACACGTATTCTGTTCATTCCTGATCCTTGACCTCTTTTCTATATTTGTCTTGTTTAGTAGCTCAGGCACTTTTGAATCATCATTAATTAGACTCCATTAATGGGTCCACGTTCCTGCCACACACAGAATTTAAAACTTTCTTTCACTGCACTGTGTTCATTAGAGGTTGTGTCACCCCAGGCTTTTTTATATGTATGGAAGGGGAGCAAAATCCATGCAGCATCCCCTGTGACCTTTCCCTGGATATTGTGGAAGAACCCCCACTGGAAATGCACGGGGGGTTGGGCTCCACAGGTTTTAGGTGGCAGGATAGTCAGGGAGTATATGGGAGCCAGGGGATGACCACTGTAGGTGAACTCATCTTTCTCCAATCCACACTGGCCCCACTTCACAAGAGCTCTTGTGACTACGGAGAGGGGATTGTACACAGTGGTGCTGGAACAAGTTTATAGTGGGGGTCCTGAGAGCCATTGAACCGAACTGTAAACCCTGTATATAATGGAAACCACTTCAAGCCAGAGGGTGCGACAGCACCCCCCGCACTCCTAGTTCCAGCACCTATGATTGTACATAGAGTTTAAAGACTTGAGCCCTTTCTACATCTCTGAAGTGAAATGTGAATTGATTCACAGCTTCCTTTAGTGAAAGGGGAATGGCCTCACCAGGGTGGCTTCAAGATGAGTCCTGGAGGTTCCGAGACCGCATTCCATAAGACAATGGAAGATACAGATGCAGCATAGTGAAAGCAGGAGCAGAACTTTCTAATAAATGATCAGTTAAGGTACCTAGTGATTGTCTTCAAAGATTCCATTCAAAACCGCTTCCTGGTCTCTCCATCTCCCCCAGACAAATCTTAATCCCCTTCCCAAATCAGGTGTCTAAAAAGCAAAATGGTTCTCATGCTAGCAACAAGAAAACATTTCTTTAAACACAAGACTTTGCCTGAGGGCGTAGCAGAAACATTGCCAAGAAGCAGCAAGCTCAATTTTGGAATCCAAGCTGCAGCATTATTGTTCTCAAGCTGGGAATGAGGCCTATGCACCGTGGGACTCCTTCTCCCCTACCTTTCACCTTTGGCAGTCATTTATATCTGTGCAATGCAAACTGCTGGTGTTGAAAGCTACCAAAACTGAATCCTCCACTGAGGGCAGCATTTGACACCCACTTTGCACAGTGATTACACAAGGAGAAAGGCAGTGGAGGATCAGGCCTGTACTATCTCTTTTTGAAAGAGCACAGGCAGTGCCCAAAAGCTACTGAATATAACCCAGGTCAGACTTTCCTTGGAGAAAGTGTCTGGGCTTCCTTCACGACAGTGCTACCATGGAAGGGAATCTTATCCAGAACCGTTGCCTGCAAAACAAGAGCCACAGAGAAACGCTTTGTATACTAGATATCAGAGAATACTGGTGAAAACTAGGGGCTAGAACAAAGATTTAGCAGGTGAGGTCTTCTAGGATAGAAATTAATAGGCAGGATTCAAAGTCCATGCATATCATATCTTGCTTTTCCTAAAGTAGGGATTGGCTGAAGAAGACCAGGGATGTATTTGGTTGATGTTTTAACTCACAACAGTCTCTTCTGAAATTCTGTGGAGCATTTGATTTTGTGGGATCAGTGTGTCCTCCTTGACTGCCCTTCATTCTTTGAGAATACTGAGTGTCCCTCACTTTAGAGCCAGATTTACCTATGGCCCCATAAATTCAGAACCATGGAACTCTGACTGCAGCTCGCTCTCTCTCTTAAAGGAAAAACTCCCCTTCAATCCGCTCTGTGCTATTGTTCTTCATATGTCTCTCCTTTTGGTGTCTTTGTCCCACAATTGGGACACAGCAGGGCGAGAGGGCTGGAGAGAGGAGTGGGCCAAGCCAGGGTAGGGTGAGGAAGATCAGTCTGTAACCTTATCCTTGCCTCATCCACATTTGTGTGCCCATTAAATGTCACTGTCTATACAAAGGACAAAGTTGATAAGATTGGAGGAGAAACGCCAGGGACATCCGTCCTCTCTCCCCCTCTTTTTCCTATGACGTGGGAGAATGCTGCAGCTGCCTTTTTAATCTCCATTAGCTTCAGGCAGTCCCTAGGTCTCAAGTTGGGGATTGTATTGCATTTCCCTGGGAACACATTTACCTTATATTTTTTGACCCTAGAGAGGTCACCTTGGTGCCAGGTGCAATAGGGATAAACATTTGAGATGTGCTGCAGCACAGGGTTGAGTGAGGGTGAAGAGTGCCAGAAGACGAAAGGCCTGAGCCAGGCCCAGTCAGACCATGCTGTGATGGCATTTCAAGATCAGCACACACTTAGCTTCTAACAGACATGACAAGATCAGGCCAACCTGTAGTGACAGGAGGATAACTTGGGGGGGCTGATTCTCCTCTCAGACACACTTTCATAAATGTGGAGTAACTCCACTGAAGTTTACACCAGTGAAACAGAATCAGGCGCACTGCATGTCATCAGGAATCCTATCTGTATCTCCTCCCCACAGCCTTATTAGAAATGCAGTATCCTATATATTAGAGCAGTGGCTCTCAACCTTTCCAGACTACTGTACCCCTTCCTTGAAGGAGTCTGATTTGTCTTGCGTACCCTGAAGTTTCACCTCACTTAAAAACTACTTGCTTACAAAATCAGACATAAAAATGCCAAAGTGTCACAGCACACTACTACTGAAAAATTGCTGACTTTCTCATTTTTACCATATAATTATAAAATAAATCAACTGGAATATAAATATTGCACTTACATTTCAGTGTATAGTATATAAAGCAGTATAAACAAGCCCTTGTCTGTATGAAATTGTAGTTTGTACTGACTTCGCTAGTGCTTTTTATGTAGCCTGATGTAAAACTCGGCAAATATCTAGATGAGTTGATGTACCCCCTGGAAAACTCTGCGTACCCCTCAGAGGTATGCGTACCCCGGGTTGGGAACCAATGGATTAGAGGAATGTCAGACTCTTGGTGGAGTTACAAGGTGTTTGAACTAGTGTCCCTTCCAAGGTGGAAAAAGCCACCCATCCCTCCCTGCATCGAGGGGTTCATATTTAGCTCTGTGATGTTTGTTTCTTCCTTTTCTACTTCTGTTGGAACATAACCATAGTGAGGATCTGTTTACAGAACACGTGCTGTAGCACAGCAGAGCAGATGCTGAGCTGATAATGCAACCCTAGGCGAGGTAAGCTAAAAATCATACAATACATCCTTAATTTCAGACCCCATCCTTTGCTGGCAGAGGAGAAGTTCAGGAGACAGTCGCTCAGAGGCATTGCAGTGGATTTGTCCGAGCAGATCATGCAACCTCGCTCCGTTACGGTCTTCCAGGGAGAATCTGCTCCTGCCTTCATGGCACCTGCTCCTGAGAATAACCTGCCTCGGATGCGAGATCCTGAAGAAGACCTGCTATGCATTGCAAAAACCTTCTCCTATCTGCGAGAATCTGGTAAGGCTCTACCCACCAGCATGAGGTCACTGCATGAGGCGGCCACAGGGTGTGGGGAAGAACTCTCTGTGAGCCACCTCCAAGAAGAATCTCCTCTCCTAGGAAGGTCGCTGGGCACTAAGGTTGGTCTGCTGTAAGTGTCTTGCCCCAGAAGCTGTTACAGCAGAAACTTATCAGTGCAACGAGTGGTCCTGGTCTCAGCCACCACACAGCCAGTGTTTATATCACAAAGTAGCCTACTACTAGCATACACGGGAGCTTTGCCTTTAATAGCTCAATTGACAGAAAGGGGAACTGGCTCCTCTGTCTCTGTAAGCTCCACACACTGCAGCAGTGGCCTCCCCTCCCCCAGCCTAAGCACACTGATGAAAAACGTAGGCTGGAAACCCTGCAGGGCTTGGCTATGCCGTCTCTACTGTATTTCCCATGAAGCCTGCTCCTGCCTCCCTGATATGAGCAGCCTGTGTTTTCAGTCTTGTGATGATTCTTTCTTTCTAAATGAACTCTCTTTTTGGGATTCCTTTCCAGGCTGGTATTGGGGGTCTATCACAGCCAGTGAGGCCAAGCAGCATCTTCAGAAGATGCCTGAGGGTACCTTCCTGGTACGGGACAGTACCCACCCCAGCTACCTGTTCACACTCTCCGTCAAGACCAACCGGGGTCCCACCAATGTGCGCATTGAATATGCCGACAGCAAGTTCCGGCTCGACTCAAACTGCCTTTCCAAACCCCGCATCCTGGCCTTCCCAGATGTGGTCAGCCTTATCCAGCACTATGTCATGTCCTGCACAGTGGAGAACAAGAATGAGGCCCCTTACACACCGCCCTCGCCCCTGTCCTCCATGCAAAAAGAGATGGTGGCTGCGGCAGTGCACTTGAAGCTGATACGGCCACTCAGCCGCAAGGATAGTGTCCCCAGCCTACAGCACCTGTGCCGGCTACAGATCAACAAGTCGACAGAGGAGGTGGACCAGCTGCCCCTGCCCAGGAGGATGGGGGACTATTTGAAGCAATATCCCTTCCAGCTCTGAGTTGCAGCCGACTGGCCTCAGACCAACAGACTAGAATCTTGATGTCTTTTTGTCTCGCTGAAGCATGGCATCAAGGGGGTACAGTAAAGACATGGTCATCAGCAGTGATTGCATCCACTTTTCCTCTCCCCTCCTCCAATTCCATGTCTACACCAGGGAGGGGCTGGTTGTACCTGTGAACTGTGGGACACAATCTGACTTCCGAGCCGCAGAGGCTTGAAGGAAATGCTCTTGACACGTGCACACTACTTGAATTTTAGAGCTGCGTGACGTTAGGAGTATTACCAGTGTTTTCATCACTATTTATTTCCTTGGTAGCCTCTCTCCTGATATTTTAAAACACCTTTTAGTCCATTGTTTTTGTTTCTTTTCCTTTCAAGAAATTAGGGATGGACCTGGGCTGGAATAAAGGATCCCAACCCAGACCAAACCCGAAACTCCAGGGCAGTTTGGATCTGGATTCAGATCTGGATTTGAGTGTCACCTCTTTGACCCTGTCTTTATAGTAGGCCACTCTAAATTCAACATCCAAACACCCCTGGCAGCATGGGGGAAACTGAGATTCAGATGAGAGTTTGGATCCAAACTTTGGCACCTGGGCCCTATCTCTGAAACATATGGTCTATTTCCTTTCTTCACAAACTAAGAAAGGGCTGGAAATGCTGTGACCTCCGAGTAGTATGTATGGCAGGCATCTGTATATCTCACTGGGATGTCACCAAGGTTGGAAGAATTTTTGGACAAAAACACCTCTCCTCTGCAAGTTCACAGGTTCTGGATGTTGAGTTTGGGATAAGGAAGCCCCGCTCTGTTCCCCTCCCTGCCCCCATTCTCTTTCCCATTTCAAAAGGAAGTTCCCAGTAACACTTTTAAATCAAGTCCTTGGCAATCCAAGTCCCAGGCTGATTATCTTCAGGCAGTGGGGGGTCGTGGGCATCTCTCCCACATGGCTTGTTTTTTCTTCCCATCAATGTCAATCTCTTGGCACTGCCCTTGCCTTGGTGAAGCAGGGTGAAGGGTGGTGGCATCCTGGCCTTGGCTCAAAGCTGGCTGTGCTGAGCTGCACTGATGACACATGGTTTGAGGTTATTTATTTATTTATTCTTTCAGTGGCACAGGAAAAAAAACACACCTGTCCCTGTTCCATCATCACCATGCTGCCAAATAACCAGCCCCTCTGCCCCGTTCAGCACTAAATAACTAGCCAACCACCACCAGGCAGCTTCAATCAGAACTGAGTATGATTTTGTTATCCCCTGTTTAATTTGCTGGTAGCATCTTCTCACTTGAACAAGACTTAATCTAATTGACGCCAGTATTGCTTTTGCATCCCATAGTAGAAACAGCACTTGAGCTTCCTCCCCTTTGCCAGTATCCACACCCTACAGCCCTGCCTTCTCCCTCCCCCAGACCGCTATCTGTGGAATCTTTGATCAATGTCTGTTCTGACCTTTGGGTGCCAAAATGAAGCTGTTACCCCCAGTCCCCTGCCTCCGCCCCCACACAGCAAATCGGTCACAATGGGCCACATCATCCCCTGCAGAAGGAGGGGACACAGAGTGGGTGGATTCTGCCCAGCAATGAGCATGGAAGGGGGAAGACTGCCTCCTCTGAACCATCATTATCTCCCACCACTTGCCCAACCTCATGGAGACCAGTTCACAGGGCTGTGTGGGGGTATGTGTGAGGAAGATGCAGCTAGGCAGGGGACACATGGGTCTAGGGGGGCTTCTCCTCTCCACAGCATCTTCCCTCACTTCTGAACCCTCAGGACTTTAGCAGGCAGTAGGCCCTGGCCTTCATAGGTCCCAGGGCTGGGTGTATTTGAGGAGAGAAATCCCAGCTTGTTCAGAGAGCTGGAAGGGGAGGAAGAGACGGGACAACGCCTCAGGGGATAATAGTCTGAAGGAAACCAGTGGAGTTTCCTCTCCCCTAGATAGGAGCATCCTGCCTAAGGGGCGACACGGCCCAGTTTATTTAGTCAACGCCCATTTCTTGTCACATTTTTACACTGGTAGTATTGCTGGCTTTGTTTGCCATACTTTGATGATTGACAGCGTGTGTGTGTGAGGTCAGGTTTCCCTGTTACTGCACCCCTGCCCCCACGCAGGGGCTGTGGAAAGGCAATCAAATGAGAATAGAAAATTAAAAAACAAATAGAAAATACATTAAAAAAACCCCATAAGACCCCTGAACAAGGCTTCCTTTTAGACAAGCTCATCTGTCTGCTGGGGGTGGGGGGGAGATCAGGAAACCCCAGATATGGAATGCACAATACTGATCTTGGGACACCCATATGACTTGCCAAGCAGAGCTGTATATATGGCAGCTCTCTGGGAGAGACTCAATCACTATAGTAGTGTAGGGAGTGGGTAGGTGGCTCTGCTTTCTGAACCATCCCCTCGTGACCCCCATTCAACTGTGTCCCAACAGCCGACCTTTTTTCTTTGTGGGGCTGGTGCGGGAATTGAGCCTGCAGGTTTCTGAGCTCTTGCCCAAAGAACTCCTGGGTAGGAAGAGTGGGTGGGAGATGAGGGTAACAATGTGGCATGCTTGATCCATCTGACAGTGAGTGGATGCACAGGGAGAGCTGGAGGCTGTAAGCTCTTATGGGCAAGGGCTCTCTGTGATGTTTGTACAGCACCTAACACATGGGGCCTCTGGGTTCTACTGCAATATAAATAATAATATACATAGACTCCAAAAAGTCACTTTCTTCTACCTTGAAACAGTTTTTTTTTAAATCATTTGACCCAGATTTTAAATAAAAGTCTGATTTTTAAAGCCATTCAATCTAAAAATCTCTGGTCATATCCAAGTGAGATCATAAAACAGTGACTCTTCATTTAATCTTTTCAAAAACAGAGTCTGAGAACAAGGGTCAAGCTCTTAGGCAGCCTCCCCGTCCTGCCAAATACACACAAACCCAAGTTTTTATTTTGTAGATATCAGGAGAGTTCAGAGTTTTAGAATATTCTGAGCTGAACATCACAATGTAGGTGAACAGGAATCTGATTGCTACTCCTTATACACTAGTTACGGGCAGCAAGCTCACAGGTGTCCAGTTGCCATGGAAGGAAGGAACGCTCTCAAATAGTTTATGAAAGCATCTCACCCATCTTAATATTGCTAGTACCTGGGAGAGAAAACCCTCCAGAGTCTAAAATCTGGGTGTAAGTAGGTGCAATGCAACTAGAAGTCTTTTGAAGTGCACCTGTTTACACCAGTTTTGAATTTGGTCCTACTGTAGGCTATACACCTCTAGCACTCCCTTGGGGAGATGGTAGGCTCCTCTTCTGTATTGGAGTCTGGGGCATAGCCCTCTGGCAGTGCTGTCAGGGTCTCTGCTTCCTTGCAGGGGACCTAAAAAGTAATCCAAACAAAAAGTCATCATGCTTTCGCAGCCCACAGAGAGCAGAGTCCCTGGCCTTAGGGAAGCCAAAGAGGGGAAAAAAAAAAAAGCACCAGCCCTTCTTTCTGAGGTGGCCAATGCTCTCAAGGTGTTTCCCTGGTCAGCAACCCGTGCTTCCAGGGGCAGGGGGAGCTCTGACTTGCAGTCCTGCTCCAGAGAGCTACCCTGCACCAAGCAGGGACCCTTCCTTTTAGGGTATGTCTACACTGCAGCTAGGTGGTGTTGTTCCCAGCATGGGTAGACAGACTCATGCTAGCTCAGATGGAGCTAGTGCACTAAAATAGCAGTGGGGACGTTGCAGTGCAAGTGCTGGCTCAGGCTAGCTGCCCAGGCTTGGCCCCAGAAGCCTGCCAGGCTTGGGCTAGCTACCCTGAGCCACAGCCCTTACCATAATGTCCACACTGCTCTTCTCAGTGCACTACCTTGAGCTGAAATGGCACACGTCTGCCTGCCTCTGCTGGGAATCACATCTCCCAGCTGCAGTGCACACATACGCTTCAGGACCTGCCCATCTCCAGGCTTGACAAGAGTCACAGGCATGCCGGGCTGAGACTGATTGTGCCTAGAGGAGCTCTTTAACTCCTTCCTGATGAGGGTGGGGACCTGCCCCACCACAGGCCCCAAGGATAAAACTCTGCTCTCAGTTACATTGATACTGATCTGGAATAGCTGCATGCACTTAAATGGAGTTACAGTAGAACCTCGCAACACCTCAGAATGGAGGTTGTTTGTAACTCTGACAAAACGTTAGGGTTAGGGACAAAAGTTTACTACTGAACATTGACTTAATACATCTTTGAAACTTTACCATGCAGAAGAAAAATGCTGCTTTCCCTTTTTATTTTTAGTAGTTTACCTTTAATGCAGTACTGTACTGTATTTGCTTTTTTTTTTTTTTTTTTGGTCTGCTACCTGATTGTGTACTTCCGGTTCCAAATGAGGTATGTGGTTAACTGGTCAGTTCATAACTCTGGTGTTCATAACTCTGTGGTTCTGCTGTACTCCAGATTCACCCCCGTGTAAGGGAGGAGAATTTGGATCCCAATCTGGGATTTTTTTTCTTTTTAAAATCCACTGTATGAAAGCCGAGAATATTGGCTTCTGTTTTCATGGGTTCCCCCAAAATCCACACTTTATTGTCTCTACACTGGCCCTGGAATGGGCATTCACTAAAGAACACTCCTGCCAGTACCACACGCATGAGGAGACTTCCACCGCACACTGAGGATATGTGGGCAGGATAATGCTGCTGCTCAAGGTGAAGTTGTTGTTAAACACAAACAGACGTGTCTCTGTTGGTTCCATCGGAGGGATGGAGGGGTGGGGAAATCAAGGCAAGTCAAATGGAAAAATAAAATCAGGAGGGAAGTTGTGAACAGTCTTGGAAGAAATATTTGCAAACAATGGAGAGCATTAAAAAGAAAGAAGAAAAGCGCTAAGAAATTACTTGAATATGATTTTAAATACTCTGAAGTCAAATTCTTCCCTCATTTACATGTATGCAACCCCTTGAAGTTGGAGGTAGGTCATCTGGAGTATGCATATGGCCAGCTAACACACAAAGGTAGTCATGGGTGGTTTTGCTGACAGGTGTTTTTACTGATACCCTATGTTATCGTAATTATTATTTCGCATTCCTGCATCTTCAGGACATTTTGCCAACAAAAATGTGTTCATGCTCTGAGAGCCCAGGTGCCAAGTTTCGACCCAGATTTAATATATTTTTACAGCTGAGTTATACATCTCTGAAAATAGGGGTGTGAATGAAAATGCAGACAGCACTTTAATTATAACATCATGAAAAGCGCTGCTTTAATATCTCTCCCTGAGATGCTTATGTAGTGTGCTAAGTATCATTGCTGCCGGGCCAGCATACGGCATTCTTTCTGCATGCATATTATTTCTGGCTAGATGCATACAAATGCACACAGAGCGTTTGAAG